CCGGGGCCGGCCGCCGCCGAGGGTCGCCCGCGGGGCACGGGGTCTCGCGGCTCGCCGCGTCCAGCTCTCCGCGCTCACTGGGGTCCAGGCGAGCCCCGAACGCCTTTGGCCAATCCAAAGCGATTATGCAAGACGGCGGACCAATCAGCTCCGCCAGCTCATGAATATTCATAGGCTTGGCTGAGTCAAAGCTTTTAGGCGAGTTTGTGTAGATCTACAGCATCATGCTTAGACTTTTCAAAGAGACAAACTCCATTTTCTTATGAATGGAAAGTGAAAAGCCCTGTTCCGCTTAAATTGGGTTCTTTCCTGTCCTGAGAAACACAACAGACCCCAAAAAGGCAAGCTGAAGAGCGAGCACACACACAGACCAAGCGACAAGAAATGACCATGACTACCATGCCAGAGAGTCTTAATAGCCCCGTCTCGGGGAAGGCTGTCTTTATGGAGTTTGGGCCACCCAGCCAGCAAATGTCTCCTTCTCCCATGTCCCACGGACACTATTCCATGCACTGTTTACACTCAGCGGGCCACTCTCAGCCTGACAGCTCGTACAGCACAGCTTCGTCCTTCTCCAGACCGCTGGGCTACCCCTATGTCAACTCGGTCAGCAGCCACTCGTCTAACCCCTACATCAGTTCAGTGCAATCCTACCCCAACAGCTCCAGCCTGACTCAGACCCGGTTAGAGGAGACAGGTAGGTGCACTGGGCTTTGGGGAGGGGGTGTGGCTGTGGGGGGCATAGGGTATGTTGGGGGGTTGTGTGGCATTTTTGGGGTGTGTGAGTATGTATGGTGGGCAGGGATGGCCTATCCTATCCTGTGGAACCTGTGGCCACAGGGGGCCCCATAGCCAAGGGGCCCCCTGCAGCCATGAACATTCAAAATCAGTGCTGTAGCAAGGCAGGGCAGGCAGTTGCCAACACTCCATGTTACCACCACCGCCAGCTTCACATCTGGCCACTTGCCACCCCCACCTCAACTGCCGATGTCAACGCTGGCTTCTTCCTGCCAGGGGTCCCCAAAAC